AAAAAAAAAAAATTCACTTTAACCTGTTATTTATTGCCTTAAATTAATATTTTACCTGGTTGCACCACCATGACATGTATCAATTGTGCCACCTGACAATATAAGTAATCACAGGAAATATGCAGAAAATTTATATTTTTATTTCAAATACGTTTTTGTTTTTTATCAACAGTCTCTTTTTAATTGAAAGTAGTAAATATTTCATAGTAATCATGTTTAGCACATAACTGGAATAGGCAAAATCACAGTTGCTTCCGCCTGGGGTGATGTAGCTTCTACCTCATTGTGGCAGCATTTTGCACACGCTCCATACATGACTTGTTTGTCTGCTCCCTGGGTCGTGCTGATTTTGCTTTACTTGACAGTGGCATCCTTAATAGTTAAAAAAATATTCATTAATATCATGAAAATAGTTTGAAAGTGTATAATATCGTTAACTTAACACTGTTAAACTTTTGAAAAAAAATAGTAAATAATGTTGGAGCTTTATATCATAGAGTGACATTCTTTGCAGTTGCGCCACCTGACTTACTGGTTGCCCCACCTTACATTTGCAATTTATTTCAAATTAAACAGGCATTTACTAGGCCACTAGCATTAGCTTTTGTTCTTGCTAACAACTTCATACATATACATTTTAAATAGAATAAAGAAATGTATGATAAAATAACATTTTTCTAGTTTTACATTGGTTGTACCACCCTGACATGGAAAGTAAACATATAAGTATACATATAAGTTGAAAGTAGCTGTTTTTATCAATATTCAAAAGAGATATACAAATATTTTCACTCTGCCATAAAGGTCCGTTGAGGGCCACTTGATGATGCAATATCCTGTTTACTGTTCTGCACTTTCATTTCATAATAAAAGTCCCATCTTTATAGTTGTGCCACCCTGACATTTGAGAACATTCAAATTGCTGGACAAAAGTTTTTAAATTATCGCAACAGCTTAAAACTATTGGCATTTGTAAAAATTTGGTTTATTTTAATCGTTTCAACAATAAAAGCATGACATAGTATTTTATTTTGAATTTATTATCATTTAAATACCTTTTTAAATAGTTTTCTTAGTCTGTTCATAGGACAGGTGCACCGCCTGACATTTTCAGGGTTTGAGAAGCAAAAACATAAAATAATATATATAATCTGATTGTTCTGAAAATGTATCAAACCCGGATAGGTTTTATGAAATGATATATGTCATGAATTGATACAATTATTTTAAAAGGAAATAGTGGACTCTGATACAAAAATATGCATGTCATGTCATTGACCCATACACTGAAACAATATTATTTTACAAGGGGAGTAGGATAATAAGCTGACTAACTATAGGACTCCTGACCCCTCACACAGGCTATGGTGTAACAAGTGCGTCTGGATAAGTGCGCCATGTCTGTCATGGAAGAAACCATGTTTTTGCTGCTTGTCGTTTTTGTTAGCTTCTCTCTAACGTCGGCTGTTGGTCAGACAGAACCAGCCGTGGACTACTCGTACGTGGCCGCTGTATATGAGCACAACTTAGTCCTGAACCCGGAGCCTCGTGTCCCCCTGTCCCGCCCCGCTGCCCTGCAGCACATGCAGAAGAACCTGGATGTCTACGAGGAGCAGGCTGCCCTGGCCGCTCAGCAGGTATGGTCAGGTCAGGAGAGAGTTAAACGTTTACTATTTATGTCAAAGTTACCTTAAAGTCAAACTTAACAATTTTTCCTGACCCTATTTTTTCATTCCTGATACAACTATTACGTTATTATTAATTCATAACTTTTTATTGTATTGGTCTTTGCACCCTTTAAGCAAAGCCTCAAATGTCATTGCCATTGAAGGTTGCTATACATTTATTTTTCAATTTCAGTTACCTGAGTCCACTAAATTTCACAGAATTAAAGTTTCCCCAGCAGCTAAAAACATCCCTCATATGAGACAGACCACTAACTGATATATATGTTTGTTTGATCTGTAAAAATGATTGAAAATCACACTAGCTATATTAAATAAGAATTGAGTCAGTCAACATGAGAGGTTGTATTTCTCTATGCTGACAGAATGATGCACATTTAATGTCACAGAGTACATGACTACAGTAGAGTAATTAAGCTCTATACTCTGCCCTCCTCTTCCCTTCAGGGTGCCCAGATCCTGGTGTTTCCAGAAGATGGTCTTCAGGGTTTTAACTTCAGCCGTTCGTCCATCTCTAGCTACCTAGAAACCATTCCTGACCCCCAGCAGGAGAGCTGGAACCCCTGCACAGAACCAGGCAAATACAACAACACCGAGGTGCACAATCACACATTTAGGTTTGATGTTATTATTGAACAGGCATTCTGACATGACGCACTTACACGGAGAGACCACTAGGCTGCTCAGAGCCTTCACCCGTGCAGCACCAGTCTGTGAATATAATCCCATTTGAGTGTGGTTGTGTTTCACAGGTTCTCCAGCGTCTGAGCTGTATGGCCCGTCGTTACAACCTCTACCTGGTGGCCAACATGGCTGACCTGCAGCCCTGCCCCCTGAAGACGGACCCCTCCTCCTGTCCATCTGATGGACGCTGGCAGTTCAACACCAACGTGGTTTTCAGGTACAGTGCAGACATTGAAATAAAGTTTAGCTGAAGTCTAGCAAGTGCACCAATGCATCATTTCCTGGTCTATGGGAGCTGTTAACAGAATCTTCTTTCATACAGGTCAGATGGCCTGCTGGTGGCGCGCTACCATAAACACAACCTCTACTTTGAGGAGGCCTTCGACACGCCGCCACAACCTGAGATCACAACGTTTGATACACCTTTTGCCGGGAAATTTGGTCTCATCATTTGCTTTGACATCCTGTTCTACGAGCCCACAGTTACCCTGTTGGAGAAGGTAGAAAATCAGCCACTCTAACTCTTTACATTCCTGTGGTCTGTCTTCTCTTTTCCTCACATCCTCCTTCTCCTTGGACCCCTTTCAGGGTGTTCGTCAGTTGATCTTCCCCACAGCCTGGATGAACCAGCTCCCTCTACTGGACGCGATCCAGTTCCAGCGGGCGTTCAGCATAGGTGCCAATGTCACCCTGCTGGCGGCCAACACTCGCAGTGACCGACTGATCATGACAGGAAGTGGTATCTACACCCCGTCTTCTGCCACGTACCACCACGCCCAGAAAGGAGACCCAGAAAAGGGCAGGTTGCTGGTAGCCAGGGTGCCAGTCTTAGACCCACTGTTGATGGGGCAGAGCGTGGTCACAGAGGAGGGGGTAGTTAGGGGTGAGTCCACATCATCTACAGCGACAGACTCTGGACACTGTCACAAAGATAACTGTTTTGATCCTCCTCCTCCTCCTGAAACTGCTTCCTCAGTTCTTTCCTCCTCCTCCACCACCTTCACCTCCTCCATGATGTACGACCCATTTACATTTATCCTCCTTAACGAGACAGAGGGCAAAGTGAACGTATGTGATGGCACCTTTTGCTGTCACCTGCAGTACCGGCGGTTACCACCGGGCGACAGTAAAGAGCTCTATGCATTGGGAGCATTTGCCGGAACACACACAGTGAACGGCCGTTACGCCCTGCAGGTAGGAAAGAGAATAATTGGGGACATAACTGCGTGATGATGCTCTTGTCACATTTATCACATGTCTGTTGCAGGTTTGTGCACTAGTCCGCTGTGCAGGGTTGGACGTCAGTTCCTGTGGACAGGAAGTGGAAGAGGCAGAGTCAAAAATGGACTTCCTGTTAGAGGGGAGGTTTGGGACCAGATATGTGTACCCATCACTTTTGGTTAACAAGCTTGTCCTGGAGCAGCCAGAGCATCTGGAAACAGCTGCAGATGGCAGAGTGACCATGAAACACTCGAATATGACTGATGGGCTGGTCACTGCCTGTCTGTACGGACGCATGTATCACCTGGACAATGAATAACAAATCTGACCAAGACTGCTAATGACAAGTCAGGTGTTGAACATTTGTGTTCTGTCAGATATAACTGCAATAAATGAAAAACAAATCCTTTTATTTGTTCATTACTTAATCTTTACAAACATCACCAGTGGCATTCATCCTCTGCCTGAAAGTTGCTTTTTCCTAAAAAAGGCAATATTTATCAATTTCTCTCTCTCTCTCCACACACACGCGCACACACACATACACACACAGTGTCAGTCACTTTCCCCAGTCTCCTGTACAGTACACAGGCATTGAGTAGTTACAGCATTGCAAGTTAAAAGTTCCTTAAAGCAGCTCATTGGGGTCATCTATCAAATGACTCCTGGACCAATCACAAGGTAAATGGGTCTGACAGCCACCTGCTGTCCTAATCAGTCCCCGTGGGTTCAGCCTCCACTTGGAATACATTTATAGGATTAAATCAGGACTTCCTCTCCAAGGAATTAAAAAGTGGTTAACACATTAGCAATGTGTGAGAGTGACAGCCATCAGTGTCTGCCATGAATTAAAAACTCAAGTACAGTAGGGAAAACAGTAATCAATCTCCTGGTCCCATAAGATCGTCCTCTGTTTCTTATTTAGACAATCGTGCCAAAAAATGTCCTGTGAGCGTTTCTCCAGTAGATGCTCTTCTAGTGTTAGTTGAAGGAAAAACCATGAAAAGGCTTAAAACTACTCCAAAGTATCAGCAAAGACTAGGTACTTAATTTAAAAAAGGAAAATAACATTGCTTGGAAATTAAAAAGACACTGGCCATGTTACTGACCATACAGTGATGGTGTCTGAGATAAACATAGTGTAAATATATTCTATCTTTTAGTACATTATTTTTCACCCCGTAGGTATGCACCTTGAGGAAACGTGTTTTCGAACAAAGTTTATTTTTAGATTTAAGCTTACCTAAAAATAATCTGCAGTTCCTTGTCAGTGATCTATTAAGGCTCCTGAGTGGCTGGCTAGCTTGTCAGTATTGTGGGGCTCTGTCCAATAGCAGGTATATGTCCTCAGTATGTTTCTGAGTCTGAGTCATTCAGTTCATCATCCCCAATGACGGACGTCGGCGGCCGCTCCGGTCTGCAGTAGGAAACATGGTCAGGCCTCAGAGAGGGAGGGGTGTCGAAGGCCACGCCTTTGGAGACGTGGTTGTTGGTGGGGTGGTGGTTGATGACTGTCTGAGTTAGAGAGGGTGCAGACAAAGCTGCTATGGTGACCATAGGGGAGGTGGGCATCATGGAGTTGAGGATGAGTGCCAGACAGTCGGCCACATCACGGTTGGGAGCGCAGGCCAGAGCAGGAGTGTAGCCTAGGAATAAAACAGGAGCGAGAGAGTTGAAACTAGAATTACCGCCTCGTGGTTGTATGCCTCCAACAAGTCAGTGTTTGTTTCTTAGATATAGCTTTCATGAGACATAAATGGTAAACATACGTACAGAAGGACAGACAATCCGAAAACATAGAACCTCAGGTCCCGGCTGTTGTGGTGTAGTACGTCATAAAAACATCATAGTGTAGTATGCCATGAAAATGTCATCGTATATTTATTTGTCCCAGAGGGAGAACTCTTTTTTTTTTTCAAAGCCAGTACACAGAAAGAGATCTAGACATAGCAGCATTGAGAATGCAAAGTATACTACACATGGCAACATACAGATAATAGGAGTACACTAAAGCTTCAGGTTTGCACTCATTCATCCCAACTCATCCTCAAGCAACCTCTTCTCCAACTAACAGCTGACAACAGAAAGACAGAGCACACCCCAAGAGAAGCCATGAAAAAGTCATAGCATAGTATACAATTAAAAAGTCGAAGTATAGTATTTTTTAAAAAGTTATAGTATGTTGAAAAAAGTAAAAGTATAGAATGTTGGAAAAAAATCATTAAAAAGTAAGAATATAGTATGCGAGAAAAAAAAGGCAAAGTATAGTATGTTGAAAAGTAAAGAAACAGTCAAAATAGTATTTATAAAGTTCTAAAAGTAAAGACTATATTTTTGGGGCGCTAAAAGTGATAGTATAGTATGTTAAAAAAGTAAAATCGTAGTATGTTGAAAAAATAAAATCAATAAAATGTAATAGTATACTATGTCGAAAAGTTATCAGAAAGCCTTGATATAGTATGTCGGAAAAAAGACGTTAAAAAGTCATAGCATAGCATTTTTTTAAAAGTGATGGTATAGTATGTAAAAATAAAAAAATGTTGAAGATAATCATAGTATAGTATGCCAGAAAAACGTCATTAAAATGTGATAATATAGTATATTAAAAAGTCATAGTATAGTATTTAAAAAAGAAAGTCATTAAAGTTATAGTATAGTATGTCAAAAAAGCATGTAGAAAAAAGTCATAGTATAGTATGTCGAACAAGTCAGATTATAGTATAGTAAAAAGTCTTAGTATAGTATGTTAAAACGTGATTAAAAAGTCAGAGTACAGTATGCCATAAAAATGCCATAGAGTCATAAAAAATCATGAACAAGTTATAGTATGGTATACAATAACAAATATCATGTATGCCATTACTGAGATTAACAAGAATGGGACAGACGGACATGCCACTGCTGCCGCCGGCATGGAGGCCTAACAACATGTCGCTGCTGAAGTGTGTATGAATAGTGAGGCATGTGAGGAAGCAGAAACACTGACCGTTCTCGTCCACTGCTAACACACTGGCTCCTTTCCTCAGCAGCTCCTGGACCACCACCGTCAGTCCCTTCTTGGCTGCTACATGCAGGGGCCTGAAAGAAGGCGGAAGGAGATTTTAAAATACATCCAGTCTGAACATAGAGGATTACCCAATAGCACGGCTAAATGTTGGCCTGCGCCGAGGAACACTACGTACGTCTGGAGAGCAGTGTTGGTGCAGTTGACGAGGTTCTTATCGCTGATCTTCTCCAGAATCAACAAGGCACTCGTCTCATGACCCTCACAGGAACAGAGAGCGACCAAGTAAGGAATAAAAAATAAGTATAATCATAGATGTCTTGCACAATCCGGAAATAATTCACTTTGACTTGTTGAAATGTAGAATTAGTCCCTAATCTATTGTCTCTTTTGTACATTTCACATGTTTACCCATGGTGAGATATTGATAATAATAATTCACCATGGCCAGTGAATACAAAACGCATTTCCTGTCTCTGTAAATGGTTGTTACCTTGCTGCAAGCCAGATGTAATGCTGTGTTCCTGTTTGTGTCCTGTAGTGTGAAGTCTGCTTTTGCACTGCTCACCAACATCTCTGAAACACACGAAACGGCAATGGTTACATGTCAAAGGTTAAGAAATGAAAGGCCAAACAGTGTATCTAAGTGTCAATGGGGCGTACTGACCCACAGTATTGGTCTGTCCGTTTAGAGCCGCCATCATCAGCGGTGTGCTGCATATGTGTGTGTCAACTACGTTTGCCTGAGCTCCCTGGCTCAGCAGAAGGGAAACGCACTCCACGTGGTCGGAAAAAGCTGCAGCGTGGAGGGGGGTCCTGCGTTGACACAAACACAGTTGATCAAATACCGGCAGAGCTTGTGCTCCCTCCAGACATCTTCTCATCCTCCATCATCATCACATCATCTCTCACCTGCCCTTGGAGTCAGTGGTGTTGACGATAGCTGTGCCCAGGGAGTCAATTAGCATCTCAGCCACGCCCTCATTATCGCTCATACTGAAATACACAACACACACTGTCACACACCTTCAGACCGACGTCTATCTACATAAAAAAAAAAACATTCATTGGCGCACATTGTCTTACACAGCACAGTGCAGTGGACTGAAGGAGTTGCCCTTAATCTTCTTGAACACCTCTTGGTCCAACAACACCTCCACGCAGGCATCATATCCTAGGAAAACAAAGAGAGGATGGAGGTACAAAGGGAGGAACAGACATACTACTTTGCTGTGGTTTCACACAGAATGTTTCTCAAGGGTCGTGCTATGTCCCCCCCCGTACCGTTGTAGCAGGCCCAGTGCAGTGGTGTGTAGCCCTGGTTGTCAGTGAGGTGAGTGTGTGAGGTGGTGCTGGTGGTGGCCTGCAGGAGGGCCCCCAGGACCCCCACACGGCCACAGGCGGATGCCAGGTGAACAGGGGAGCGGCCCAGGATGTCTCTGACGCACACGCTGGCCCCACGCTGGAGCAGAGCCTCGACACTCTCCTCCTGGCCCGTCACCGCCTGTGTGAAAATCAAGAGAGTGGAAAATAATAATGATAAATATAGTGTAATAAAATATTATAATGTTAGTGAGTGAATGTCTCACCCCTCGGTGGAGTGCCGTCCTCCCCCAGCGGTCCTGATTGTCGACACTGGCTCCTTGACTGAGTAGAGAGTACACACACTCTGTGTGTCCATTCAGCACCGCCAACATCAGAGGAGTCCTGGACACAGCGTGGAAATATGACATAACTAAGTACTTTTATTTATTTATTCATGAAACGAGTTAAAGTAATCTTCTCAAACAAAATAAATGCATAATAATCTCACACTCACTGTCCATTGGTGTCTTGTACATCCACATTAATGTGTTGGTCGTTGGTGCTCATGAGCAGGCGCAGGCACTCTGGGTGGCCATTCATAGCTACGGCACACACACACACACACACACACACACACACTAGAGCATGAATTTGTTTGACTCATGTTTACATTTTATAAGCGAGAAAATAATCCTCAATCATGTGAACGTGTGGCATCCAAACAGGTTTCTGTGGTTGTATGTGTCTCTGTGTGTGTGTGTGTGTGTGTGTGTGTGTGTGTGTGTGTGTGACACAGCTGTATGTATACCTGCAGCATGTATGGCTGTCTTTTTGTGTGTATAGTCACGGGTCATGGGTGAGGAGCCGTGGTGCAGGAGCATGGAGACACACTCCTGGTGACCCTTGGAGCAGGCCAGGCTGAGGGGGGTTCGGCCCTCCAGGTTGCAAACATCCACTTCCAGCAAGGACGACAAGAGAACCTCTAAAGCTCCACAGTGTCCATGGTAAGCCTAAATCAATGGAAGACACACACCAATAGACACTTCTGTTATGTCTAATGGGAACAGACATGGCAGAGACAGTGAAATCCTGGATGTGAGAGAGACAAACAACCAAATACAGACACACATCTTGAACTCACCGCCAGGTGGAGTGGACTGACGGGGGCCTGGCTCTCTGAGTCACTCATGATGTCTGCTCCTGATGTCTCCATTAACTGAAATAGAGAGATGGTTCCCATATCAACTCATTTTACATCCAGGTGTGCAGACAGAGCAAGTTGCACAGAAATTAGGCCGCGATCACACTGCTGCATTTGGTCCAAATGTATTGAAGGAGAGATTTCGGGGTGTTTTCGCAAAGGTGTGCGCTACGAGTGTTTTCCTTCCAAATGCATACAACGTTGGCCTGCCAATCGTTATCCAACCAATAACAAGACAGAAGAGTTTTCACAGTAGCTTCACCTGCCCACCAGACGATCTAACCACTCTGTTCCCCATTTGTCCAACAGAGGGAGCCAAGTACAAAAACAAAATCAATCAATGTAAGGGCTCACTCACCACATCAAGAGGTGTCTCACTTGCCATCTAAAAGAAACACAAAGACTGTTTATGATACTATGAAAAGTGTGCTTGTGTGCTGTAGTTCAAAAACCTTTTAGCACATGAAGGCGTTCAGATTTTCTGACTGTCTGTAGGACATGCAACATATTTGTCACTCTTTGTGGACGCTGTACACACCAGTTCCAGGCAGAGTGTGCGTCCATAAGCTGAGGCATAGTGCACAGCACTGTAACCCTGTTTGTCTCTCGTTCCTGGATCGGCATCGTTCCTCAACAGGTACTCCACACACCTGACAAAGACCAAAGAGAGGAGATGATTTTTAAAGCCTTCATCTGACACTGAGGATTATTTATTTACACTTTGATACTTAACTTTTAACGTTATCAATTAAACAGTAGAACGTACTTTCCATCAGTGTCGGCTGCAGCGGCATAGTGCAGGGGGCTGCAGCCTCTCTGGTCCAGCTCATTGATGCTTGCCCCAGAGCCCACCAAGGCAAACACACAGTGGTAGTTACAGTTGGCTGATGCATAGTGTAGTGGAGTCCTAAGGATGGTCAAAACATCTTCCTCAGTTTTCAGACATTATTTCTATTCCTAACATTTCTAGAATCAAACTACACGCGTGGCTCACCTTCCAAAGTTGTCTTTCCTGTTAAAGTCCGCTCCAATGTTCAACAGCAGGTTCAGACACTCCAGGTTCCTGGTTGGATAGACAAGATTCAACAGTGGTGTTTTGCTGACATACTAATCTATTGTAATCAAGTGCACGGATCATATTTCAGTGCACAAGAGAGATGGCAAAAATAAAACAAAAGGGTGAATGCCGTTAAATAAGGAACAAAGAAAAGCATCAAAGAGGCTCAGGAATGAAACAATAGTCGTGCATTGAGCAGGAATGATGACTCGCCCTCCAGCTGCAGCAGCATGTAGACAGGTCCTTCCAAAGTCATCAGGGGTGTCCATGTCAAACCCTGCAGAAATATGTTATCAGCATCAATTAAGATGTCAACTAGGTAATTCCACTGACAAGAATGGTGTCAGCATGAATGTACCTGAGGACAGCAGCTTCCTGCAGCAATCCGAGAAGCCGCTAAGAGCTGCCAGGTGTAGAGGGAACATCCCGTGAATGCCTCTCCTAAAAAAACATTGAGGCAAAGAAGGCAAGCCATCACAGGAGGGTGAGGTGTGAGAGCATGGGTGCATTAATGACGACAGAAAGAAAACAAAAAAAGATTGAAAGCATGGTTTATCGTGAGATTAAACATCCCCAATCATCAAACCGTTCCGTTGTAATTTGTGCGTCTTATCATTAAAGCACATATTCAGTGAGAAGATAGATGGACAGATGGTTAAATGTCAACTGTTACTAACTTGGCGGTGTCGGCTTCGTGTTTGATGAGTGCTGTGATGATGAGCTCATGGCCACAGCGGGCAGAGATGTGAAGGGCAGTGTTTCTGCTCTTGTCCTCACAATCAATCTCGGCTCCTACGCACACATAAAAAAAAAAAAAAAAAGTGGTATTACGTATGTAGGCTGTGTGTGAAGCAGACAGCACACTGCAGAGGGAGGCTCTCACCATTTTGAATGAGCGCCTGAGAGCAGGAGAACCTTCCGTGGGTAGCTGCCATGTGGAGCGGGGTTTTATCATCCTTACTCTGGACAGATGGCGGGAGAGACGGTGGAGACAAGAAGAGCGGTACAAAGACGATGAATATGATGTTCTGTAGAGTTTAGACCTATATCAGTGCTGCAGTGCATGATTTACATTGAAGTGCCAGTGTGGGAAGCTGACTCAACTGAGTCTAATAAAATACTGTAGTGTAAGAAAGCGTAGCATGAACAGAAGCTATCGTAGACGCCCTCGTGGACACCCCACACACACACACATACACATACACACACACACACACACACACACACACACACACACACACACACACA